AGGACAGCCACTAACGTTATGTGTCACCATGTGGCAAGGCTGCTCGGGGTGTAGTTTACCAGCATGCCTGGCTCTGCGGTGCTCGTGCACGTCGCTGTGGCCACTGCTCGGAGGCGTGTGCAGCAGTGCTGTGCTCCGTGTGCACCCGCCTTTCCCCATAAGTGAGGAAGTCACGGTGTGTCTGTGCTGAAACGACTGTCTATAAAAAGTGTGCTTACTATGAATGTCTGCTCTAGTAACTTATTCTGGAAAATCAGCTATTTTCAGAGAGATTCTGATTGTAGACAAATGGATAGAGCTTTCAGAGTAGTTAGGTTGTCAGGGGGCTTTCAATGCAAGGATGAGAAATTTAGCTCAGTTGCATTTAGTGTCACATTAAACCTACCTCCTGTTATTTCCCGAAAGACACTTTTCTAAATGTACGTGTTCCTCAAATAGCATATTTGTATGTTTGCATTAAGCTTATTACTCCTTTATTGCACACACACACCCAGGCCCCATCAGCTTGTTCTTTTAAATGCCTTGGAGGCCAGGGCTGCGCCTCAAGCATTGCCTGCTGCCTGCCAGCATCGGCTTTGGCTGGAGCTGGGACCCAAAGCTGGAGACTCAGCCCAGACACTGACCTACGGCAGTGGGCCTCAATTGCTAGGCTCAGTTCCTACTCCAACTTTTCATTTTTGATCAACCTTTGAAGCACTCTTCTGTACATATACCTATGTATGTGTTATATGGAAATGCTAATCTGTTATACATGCATTCCTCAGTAAATGTTTAGCTGTTGCAGTAACTTGCTAAATTATCCAGAACCAGATAGCTTGATTCTCAGAACAGACTCAAGTTTCTGGTTATATGCACCTAGTGTCCCACATTGAAGTTCTGTGTGTTCGTATTGTTTGCTACTCTCCAAAGAAACTTACAAGATACCAGAGAGTGAGAAATAAGATAGAATGGAACGTGGAAGCAAGATGGGAGAGCAAAAAATGAAATCGATGCAATGTGCTTTTTGTTTATTGCTTTGAATAGGTAGGTGAGAGTGCAGGTTCGTACCTGGTTTAGTTGTAGGCTACTGAGATGTGGCAATGCTTTGTTATCCAGAAGCTGAGTTGAATTCATTCTGGGTCTCTTCAGAAAGCTTGATTAAATGAAGTGGACCAAGATTTCACCTGTTCCATAAAACCCCAAGACTAAGAACAAGCTTTCCCCTCGTAAATGCCACGGTTCTGGGCAATGCCTTCTGATTGAGACTGGTGTGCAGCAAGAGGCACCTGTTCTGTTAGTTGGAGTGATGAAGGCAGGTGCCTGAAGAAGGCATATGAATAGTGACTAATGGAGGCAAGAGTCCCACGTTGTCTTACCCTCAGCATCTAGGTCTGGAGGATCATAGAGCGCTCTGAGATGTGATTGGATGCATGCAGGACGCTCTGGGCAGGTGATGGCACTAGCAGTGGAAGAGGGTGCCCTGAAGGGGTCTCACAGGGGTCAGCCTGTGCTTTTAGGCAAGGTAGCTCGTGTCACTGTGCACCGAGTGTGGAGCTTACGCAGCGCAGTGCTGGCTGCTGTTGATGGGAGCGAGGCAAGGCGACTTGAGTGGAATTTCAGTGAGGCGCAGGCTCCTGTTCATTGTAGTGAGAGTGTTTGTGTGCCGGCCAGAAGTTGCACAAGTGACTTGTAAGAGTGCTTCTAGAAGATGCTGTTGCTAGTAGGTAGATCTTTTAGCCAGAGCATGTTAAGTGGAGATTGGTGTCTGGTTGTGCCTTAGCTTGCGTGGAGAGCCCTTGGCTGCAGCTTGTGTGGGGCACAACCTGTTATTGTCTTGTTCCCTGACCCCATCAGGGAATCTAGGCTTTAAGTGAGGAAGACAGAAAACCTTCCTTTTCCATGTGGAGCCTCATCTTCGTGAAGGTGGTCCTTTGCCAGGCTTGCTCAGTGAACACAATTTTTTAAGGTTTGTTTTTTATGGGAAAAGCAAATTTACAAGAGATGTTGCATCTGCTGGTTCTCTCCCTAAATGGCTGCAATGGCCAGAGCTAAACTGATCCCAAACCAGGGGCCAGGAGCTTCTTCCAGGTATCCAATGAAGGTGCAGGCTTTGAGCCATCCTCCACTGCCTTCCTAGGCCGCAATAGGGAGGGAGCTGGATGGAAAATGGAGCAGCCAGGATACAAAGCAGTGCCCTCATGGAGACTGGTACTTACCAATGGAGGATTAGCTGGTTGAGCCATGGCACTGGCCCCTCTGAACATGTATCTGCTTCCTCCTCATGTCCCTTCTTTGATACATTCTCTTGTGCCTGGTGTTGATGGAGTTGTTTGCAAGAGAGCCGTAGTAGAAGCACCACTGCATCTACTCCGTGCTCCTGAAGGGCCGTCAGGTGACGCCAGGCACTGCTGGGAGCAGCACCCTGAGCGCACACACGTGGGGCCTCTGACGGGGCTGCTAGCAGGGCTAGGATTTAACTTTGGAGAGGCCCAGGAGCTTCTTGATTGTGCCATTAAGAGCATCATGTTTTAACAGAAAAACCTGGTGGGTGCAGAACGTGTACAATATGTATTAGCTTACAAATCCTAACTTTAATGAATTGTTCCTCTTAAAAACTAGTGAAGATTTGAAGAAACGAAACTAAAAACAAAAAACATCAAAATCCATGAGATATGGTGTCTGCTGGTCTTCTTCCTCCCTGCTGATCTTTGTTGGTGAGATATATCTCCTGTAGGCAACGAATAGATGAGTTTTGTGTTTATAATCCAGTATATCACATTTGATTGATGAGTTTAAGCCATTTATATTCAGAGTTAATATGATTGGGTGTAATTATTTCCTGTCATTTAGTAATGGGTTGCTCATTGATTTAGTCTTCTGTTATTTTACTGGGATGTTCTTCACATTTGCCTTTGGTTTTGGCAGATGCTATTCCTTTTTTCTGTGAAGAGAACATCTTTAAGCATCCTTTGTGGGGCAGATTTGGAAGAGGCATATTCTTCTAACTTTTCTTTACTGTGGAAGATTTTATTTCATTTTCAAAGACAAAGGAAAGTTTTGCCGGGTACGTTATCTGGCCTGGCGATTTTTTGCTTCTAGAATCTGGAATTTGTCTCTCCATTCTCTCCTGGCCTGTAGAGTTTCCTTTGAGAGATCTCCTGTGAGTTTAACTGACATTCCTTTATATGTCAGTTGATTTTTTTCATGTGCACATTTAAGGATCTTTTCCTTATGTTCGATTGAAGAAAGCTTGATTATTGTGTGTCATGGTGAAGATCAATTTTGGTCAAGTCTGTTGGGAGTTCTGTGCTCCTCCTGGATGTTGTTTCCCAATTCTTTCTTTAGATTAGGGAAATTTTCTTTTGTTATGTCACTAAATACATCTTTAATTCCGGTTTCTCTTTCTGCACCTTCTGGGACTCCACCTCTTATGTTTGACCCCTATAAAGTGTCTCTTAATTCTTGAATTTTTTTTTAGCTTGACCCAGCTCTGCTTCCAGCTTTTTGATTGTTTCCCTCTGGTGACAGGAAATATCTTCCCATTCTGGGATTCTTCCTTCCTCCTTCATTCTGTTACTGAGGCTTCACACTGAATGATTAATCTGCTCTATTGTGTCCTTCATTTCCAGTAATTTGACTTGATTTTGTTTCAGTGTTGCTATTTTCTGTGTGACATATTCCTTAAATTCTTGCCTATGCTTCTCATTGATAAGAAACTTTATAACAAGTGTTTTGGAACACTTTTTTTTTTCTCATTGAAGTCTTCACTGACTCATAGATCATACAGTAGCACCATTTTCAAGAAGGTTCTTGATTTTTTTTTTCTTTCTTCAGCAACACATTAGTCATTCAGTAGCATGTTATTTAGCTTCATGGCATTATAAGTTTCTATTTTTTCTCCCTGTTGATTTTGTTTTGTGTCTTTTTACATGGGGGGTTTATAGGGACTGTGTAGTGGAGCCTGACGTGTCCAGATGTGAGGACATGGTGCGGTGTGCATCTCTACTTCCGGATCGAGGATGGACCCCATTGAAGCTGGTGGATATGTCTTGACAATGGGATGTTGGATTCTGCCATTGTCATACCTGCAGTGATGGACTTAATGGCTGTTTATGAGGAACTATGCTGTTGGCAGGGCTTGGGAGTTAGGGGAGAGGGTAGGGGAAATCCCAGGACCTAATGAACTGTATCATAAAGTGATAATAATAATAATTAAAAGAAGAAGAAATGTTCTATAAAAAACTAGAAATTTTCTTTCATAGACTTTTTATATCAGTATCATTTAAAATAAAACTGCAAGATTGAGAAGATGGCAGTTGTTACTTGTGAATGCCCAGGGCAGCGGCTGGATGGTTCCATCATTCCCCCGCGAGCTGTCTACAGGCGGGGTCCCGTTACAAGCCTGTTCTCATGCAGCCGTCATGTCAAGGCTGTAACAGGAGAAGAGGAGCTTCAAAACAGGCCTACCTTGAGGGCCTCATTGGAAATGTTCTTACTTCTCTGAACTTGGAGAGCATGTAGTAGATACATCAGATTTTTATTCCACATGTTCGTCTAGAGAGAACACAGAGTAAAGGACTTTCCATGTACTTTCAATGTCTGAGTTTATGTTTTCTAAAGAAATAACAGTGTGATAACATGGTCGCGGCTTCATCTCCTTGGTTCCGAGTGTGACCTTCCACCCTCTTGGGCCTGGTCTTCAGAAAGATGTAGCTGAAGGGGAGCTGGTTTGCTGTGACAGCTTTAGGAGTTGATGCAGTAGTGGAGTTGGACAATGTGTGTTTAAGCTTATGTGCCTTGTTTATTATAAAGAATTGGGAAGAACAGCTTTAGGGTGAGGGGGAACTCCCTTGAATCATAAAATCTCAAAGTCAAGTAAATAATTTACTCCGCTACATATTCTTACCAAGGATCTCTGACAGCTAGGTGAAGGAAATGAACTAGCATTGTATTCGTTTTCAGCATGCGGTGTTTCTTTTTCTCGGGTTTATAACAGTCATTTCTGTGGGCGTGTTTTTTAGGGCATCATACAGAAGATAGTGGACAGTCACAAAGTGAAGCACGTGGCCTGCTATGGATTCCGCCTGAGTCACCTGCGCTCCGAGGAGGCTCACTGGCTGCACGCCGACATGGGCGTCTCCAGCGTGAGGGAGAAGTATGAGCTGGCCCACCCGCCGGAGGAGTGGAAGTAAGATGTGCTGTCTTATGGTTGTGGTAAACACACGTGTGTGCTGTTCCACGCTGCTTGCTCTGCAGCCTCTGTGATTCTGTCTTTGAGCCACCTGAGGTCGTTATGCTGCGATGGTCTTTTCTTAATAATTTTTTGTCTACGAAGTCCTGCTTTGTCTCAGTTTCTATTGTAAACTGAACCCAGTTCCTTCCCTTTTTACCCTTTTGATCCATTGCTTCTTTCTGTCATTTAGTTCATGTGCCCTGAGCAAACCACACTTCATTACCTTTTTGATGGGCTGTGTGGCTTGCTTCACTGTGCCCAGTAACCTGCAGGTCACCTAAACAAGGTGCTTGTGTGTTTGATAATCATATACAACATCAAAGTTGCAGTGTGATCGCTCAGTTCTCAGTATTGGAGTAGTGGATGAATGAGTGACGCTGAAATTCTTCCCAAGTGAAGCACAAGGATGCTCTATAATTGTCTTCCTTGTTTTCCCTCAGTAACTTTTTGTATTATTAAGTAGATCAAGATATTATTCGATAATTGTGCATTGAAAATACTGAACTTCAAAAGAAGCATAGCTCATAAAAACTGGTTTCTTCACAGGGTTCTCTTTTTTCATAGATTATATATACCACAAACTTATAAAGGTGGTTGTAAGTGGAAGAATTCATTCTTAGTAACAGTAACCTTCAGTCCGAGATCTGTACTTGTAAAAGAGCGAACATGTTTAGGTGGATAACCCCCTTTTCCATCTTTTTGCCACCACCCCTTTTTGTTTTTTGAGGAACAGAGTACATGCTTGCTCACTTCCCAAATGCCCACCCACAGTGACCGGGGCCAGAGCCTGACCATCCCTCCTGTTTCCCGGTCCTGCGTTAGCTGGGAGCTGCAACGTGTGCAAGGAACGTGGCTGTGTAACTGGCGTCCTAAGCAATGGGCTCAGTGCCTGCCCCAAATGTATCTTAAGTTGAATACAATCTATGTTTCATAATTCAGCAAAAAGTATAGTTGTGTTTCCAAATTTTTATAGTTGCTGGAATAGAGCTAACAAAATAGTTTTTGAGAATGCAATTAAATCTTTTTTTATCGGTGGCTGAAAAAATTTAATCACTTTTTAGTTAAGCAAACAAAAGTTTAAATATTTGGAAAATCTGAAAGTTATGTAAAAATAATTGTAAGTATTTGTACCAGACATAGTTACATAGTCACGTCAGAAGGAGACATCATCTTAGTGCTCAGAGACATGCTCATTGAATCCCAGTCGCTGAGTGTATGTAGGAACCTGTCTTGTTCCAAGTAAAATGCAATAGGTGTCACTTTGTTTAGTGGAACCTGAATCCTGAAACGCAAGAAAGCTGTAGGTTAGCTGGAACTTTGCACAGGCTAACGATGTGCTGCCGCAGCTCGGGACAGTGTGATTGCCATGTCACTGTGAGTGGCTGTACTGTGTCAGCCTGTAAACCGCTTCTGGGAGGCCTGGGTGTGTAATTCATTTAACCCACACCAGACCCTAGGAGAGTGGATTGCTATGCCGGTTTTATAGATGAAAACAGATTTTTACCTCTCCATAGAAATGAGAGGGTAGCTAGGCTTTTCAGAAAAACGAAATCTTGGGTGAACATTTGGCTTGGAGAGGAAGTGGAAAAACCAGGAAGGAGCAGGAGGGCATTGCAAAGCCTTTGGGGGAGGGGGGCTGGGACATGGCACAGCGGGTCAGCTGCCTCCTGCTAGCATCTCATTGTGTGTGTTAGTTTGCATCCCATTGGCTCCGCTTCTGATCTGGTTCCATGCTAATGGCCTGGGAAGAGGAGCAGATGACTCAAGTGTTTGAGCACCTGCAACCCATGAGGGAAGGACCTGACCTGGCACAGGCTGTTGTAACTCTGACTTTCACAATAACTCTCTCATTTTTTAAGGATTTTTAATTTATTTTGGAAAGGCAGATATGAAGAAAAGGAGAGGCAGAGTGGAACAACTTCACCGCTGATTCATTACCCAAGTGGCCAAAATGGCCAGACCTGCAGCAGTCCGAAACCAGGAGCTTCTTCTGGGTCTCCCACACGGGTGCAGAGTCCCAAGGCTTTGGGTCATGGGATTAGAAACGGCACCCATATGGGATCCCGGTGCATTCAAGGCAAGGACTTTAGCCACTAGGCTACTGTACTTGGCCCTAAAATAACTCTTAAAAAAAAAAAACAGAAAACAGGGCAGCCTGGTTGGATAGTATAGCAGTTAAATCCCTCGCCTTGAACGCCTTGAACACTGTGGGATCCCATATGGGTGCTGGTTCTAATCCTGGTTGTCCCACTTCCCATCCAGCTCCCTGCCTGTGGCCAGGGAGTGCAGTCAAGGATGGCCCAAAGCTTTGGGGCCCTGTACCCGCATGGGAGACCTGGAAGAGCTCCTGGCTTCAGATTGGCTCAGCTCCAGTCATTGTGGCCACTTGGGGAGTGAATCATCGGATGGAAGATCTTCCTCTCTGTATCTCTGCCTTTCCAATAAAAATAAAAATAAAAATAAATAAATCTTTAACAAACAAAAACCAAAAAACGAAAGTATTATGTACATCCAAATAGGTGATCTAGACTAATTTTTCAGCAGGTCTAATCTGCTTTTCAGATAAAACAGAAACATCAAAAAGTTGGATGAAAGCAACCGCAGTTTTTTACTTAGCACGACTGTGTAATCTCTGTAATTTATAGACACATCAGAGGTAGCCTTCATAGTGGTGCCCCTCGTAGTGCTTACTCTCTGAGTGTACTGTTTTTGTCTGTTAGGTCATTTCACCTCCTTTAGCATATAATTAACTAGGAACAGACATGGCTGAAATCTTAATAACCCGGAAGGTGGGTCTGAGACACTTACCCAGAATGTAAGCTGGAGAGGGGACAGGTGCAGACCATGGCAGCAGGCTTATGTGGTGTGAAGGATGATGTCATTCTATTTCTAATAGAAAAAGTCTGGAAAATAAGAATGCAAAAGAATGGGAAAGAAGAAATAACTTCTAGGGTCAGTGTCTGGAAACATGAGTCCTCCAGTGCAGGCCGAATGAAAAGTCCAAGAGCCAGGCTTTGCCAGGTTGCAGCAAATAATGAACTGGACACAGTGTGAAAAACAACCAAGGAAAAATTTCTAAAAGATCACTTTTTCAAATTTTATGTTAAACGGGTATGTAAACAATTTTTTTAAAAGATTTTAATTTTGTTTGTTTCTATTAGAAAGCAAGATTTACAGAGAGGAGGAAAGGCATAGAGAAAGATCTTCTGTCTGCTAGCTCACTCCCCAACAGGTCACATTGCCTAGAACTGAGCAGATCCAAAGCCAGGAGGAGCCAGCTGCTTCCTCTGCGTCTTCCACATGGGCGCAGGGTCCCAAGACTTTGGGTCATCATCCTCTATTGCTTTCCCAGGACACAGACAGGGAGCTGGATGGGAAATGGAGCAGCCAGAACATGAACAGGTGCCTATATGGGATCCTGATGCATGCAAGGCAGGGATTTAGCCAGTTGCCTGGTCCATGAACAGATGTTTAACAGCAATTACAAATGCCAGGAAGATAGTGCGGTAATGTATGCAAACTAGAAGATTCCTGCAGCCTGTTGTTCTCAGGCAAGTTAAATCAGTGCAAGTACAGGCAGGGTGGAGACACTTACCTTCTCTGACAGAAGCATCTCAGCAAGTCCTGCCTGGGCGAGCGCTTGTGGAGCCAGGAGAACAAATGGTAGATATAGGTGTATGTTGGCTGTGTAAAACGAATATTAAGGATTGATTTTCAATCTGAAACCATCTCACAAAGATATAGGAGTCGAAGGGAGGCAAAGACTGGTATTTCCCTGCTAGAATTTGTGAAAACTTTTAGAAAACATTATGAACTGACACCGATATGTGATGCTGCCCTTTGGAGGTGTAGGATTAGCCACTTGAACCATTATGTTGGACCTGAACTTTTGCAGTATAACGTTTGACCAAAGTCCTAACCCAGATTTGCAAATATACCAGTTTATCACTGAAATATATATTTTAGGCCAACCACAATGGCCTGATTGGCTAATTCTCTACCACTCAGTGCCAAGATCCCTTAAGGGGTGCTGGTTCATGTCCAGGCTCCTCCACTTCCTATTCAGCAACCTGCTTGTAGCCTGGGAAAGTAGCAGAGGACGGACCAAGTGGTTGGGACCCTGCACCCTCATGGGAGATCCTGAAGTTCATGGCTCCTGGTCTCGGATTGGCTCAGCTCTGATTTTTGCGGCCTTTGGACAGTGAACTAACGGATGATAGATCTTTTACTCTATAAATCTGCCTTTTCAATAAGAAAAAAGAAATCCTTAAATATGTACTTTAAACTGATTAATATTTCACCTCAATTAAAATTCCAGATAGTATACGGCATGATATTATTTTTATAAAGTAAAAGATAAAACGAAAGAAAACATGAATGTTACTGTCACCATGTATGTTAGGAGAAACCCAGGGAACTGGGAGGCCAGGTGCCCCCACTGAGCCCAGCAGCCCACCAGAGTCCTGTGTGGGACTGGCGGGGTCGCAGTGGTTTAATGAGCACTAGCGCTCTCTTGGCCCATGCTCAAGGGCAGGCCATGTTTCCTTGCTTCTGTGCTACTAGGAAGGTCCACAATGCATGCCGTACCTAGTTTATAATACAGCCAATGATAACGCAGTCTGAGAGGCTTCTGTCATTTTTCAAAAGGATTCACTGAGCTCATTTGAAAGGCAGAGTGACACAGAGAGGGAGAGGCAGGCAAGGCAGTATTCTGTGTACTCCTTCACGGCCCAAATGGCTGCAGCAGCTAACGTGAAGCTCGGACCCTAGAGCTCAGCTGTGTCTCCGACGTTGGATCGTAGGCATCCAAGTACTTGTTCTATCTTGTGCCACTCTTCTAGGCATATTGACAGGAAGTCAGGTTGGAAACACAGCAGCTGGGGCCCAGATCAGCACTCCTGGGATGCTGGTGCTGCATGTAGCAGCTTAATCCACTCCCCCACGACGCCTGACCC